CAGTTGAGTATATTGTACTTCCGGCAGAGTTTGCTGAAAACGTTTTGTGACTCCTTACTTTTTTTTGGCAATTCACATGAAGTGTAAACCTCAATGCTTGTATGTGCCATAGGAATTTCAAGGTTTTTACTGCCCATGCTCAATGTTGAGTGCTTCTGTCCAATCTCAACAGATCTTTGGCTTCATCGCTATGGTCTCGTTTGGGGCCAGCATTTGGTTCAACTTCAAGCGGTGGCGTGAGTTTAAACCCCGAGCCAGCGGCACCAACGAAACTTACGATACCAATTATTAAAAAAACAGAAAGGTGAAGGTGGGATTAAAGTTCACAGTGGATCTTTTGTTTTCATCCAAATCTGTCCTAATCCAATGCTAAGCACAGAAAAAATTGGTTCAGCAATAACATGTTACCAACCAAAATGTCATGGGCTGTTTATTTCCTACCACTGGTTCCCTGCTGATGGTTGCTTGGTGCATAAATTGGCTAACTGGTATTTCTTTACGCAGTGGCATAGCTTCACTTGCGTTGTGACACGTTTCACATAAATTGTGACACGTTTCACATAAGTTGTGCTCACTGTAAGTCTGAGACCCGAACATCAAATTACAGCTTAACTTGTGCTATCATTTTAGGTAGCATAACTTGCAAATAGAAAAATCTATTCTCATCATCATTCAAGCCAACAAGGTTTGTATAAGAAATGAAGAACTTTTTTTAAATAATGAAGAACTTGTTTAGCTGAGATTGAACTCCAGATTTTCTGCACAGTTCCAACAAAAATTGAATGGAAATATTTCAAAATGATAGGCAGAACTACTTTAACAATGGTTTAAATGGGCGATTCACAATAGTGCGCCTCCAAGAGTTTGCAACCCGTTGACCAATCACAATGCACAAAATCTGTAGATGATTGGTCAACGCGTAGCAAACTCTTGGAGGCGCACTATTGTGAAATGCCCGTATTGTTGCTGTAACCAAGGAGGAATAGGTAGTTTTAATCCTTCATGCTGTAACATTGAAAAGGAAATGCTGGCACAAAAGCTATCCTCATCCAAGACATTTCGAGTAGCTAAGCACCTTTTTGTGAAATCGACCACAATTATGTCACACCGCCGTGCCACCAATTACCCATGGCTTATCCGCAGTGTGAAGTTGTGCTAAGTTTGATGAAATCAGTGGCTGGTTTTGCCTGGTATGTACTGAGGGTATGGGTCCAGACATCAGATTTTACATTTGTGATTGGCCGATCCATCCAAGTTTGGATGATACTACAAAGAGTGTGTGTCCCATGTGCTTGCTGTGATGGAAGAGTACCGAAGGATCCCAGCAAAACTGGCCGGGGTTAAGGTTGTCCGAGGTGTGGGCAAATGTAGTTTTCATTTTTGGTTTAGTACACGACTAAATTCCCATCATGTCATTGGTGGTTCATTAATCACTTGTCACTGACTAATCCATCCTAACACATGGCATGACCATGCCTCGACAATGGAACTTCTATTCAACAATGAATGGAACTTTTATGCGGCGTCCACAAGAGATTTCTGAACGTGTGGGTGATGCAGGGACTTATTCTGACGGGGATTTATTTAGATGATACAGGTTTTTTTCCCCAGGATTTTTTCAAGCATGGGATGAAACAAATACAAGTCGAGTTTCATATTTGCAAAGTGTAAAGAATAACTTCGTTTGGTGATGATGGAATTTTCCAATTCACAGAACTTGGCCCAGTATTCTGACCATTGCACTCATAAATATTCATTATTTGCATATTGTAAGCTAGGTTAGAAATGACGTGTTTTCCTTTTTTTTTGTTGAATGTCTCTTGTGCTATTGGGTAGATCTTACATTTCAGTAAAATTTGTATGTCGTTTGCTAATAATGTTATCCCTCTTGCCTACACACAAACTTTCCACATTTACATAGAATACGTGAAAAATATCATTTTATGTTACAGTATCAGCAAAAGTAATCAACAAATTGCTGAAAGATGTTTGGAAGTCTTTCTGATCTGAGTTTACAACTGTAAAAAAAATCAAGGGAACAGGATCTACTGTGTCATCTGTAGAGGGCGCTGTTATACTTACTATGTCACACTGATCTCCATAAAAAAGAGAAATTCCATTGGCTGTTAGCAGTAAGGTCACTGCCAATCCCAATTACCAAATGAAAAGATGTCCTCCCTTGACTAAACACACATGTAATATAGTTTGGCACATCCTGTTCTCCACATTTATTGAGGCAGAAAAGAAGCCCTTAAAATCAGGCATTGGAAAATTGGGAACAAAATGGACATGAAGCCCTGTACTGGTTTAAGAAGTGATACCAAGTTTCTAGATTCTGTTCCTGAAAGAGTTATTTATTGTCAATTTATTTTTCAGACTGTTTCAGTTTCCTTAAAAGTATGGTTCAGCAGGGTTCTAAAGTTATTTTGAACAGTGGAGGGGGTGGAGGTGTCTCCAGAGCTTTGTTTTGATTTTCTGAAAACCAGTGACCCAATACACACCTATATCTTGAACTATGACTAGCTCTGATAAAATCATACATCTCAGTCCTGTGGTGCAAATGAGGGGGGCTTGAGCATCTCGAGCCACTTCCGGGGGGGGGGGTTTGAATTCTGATCCCAATCTCCTCCCTCCAACAAATCCAGGGTGTGCTACCTATTTTGGACAAATGAGAAACACTCTCGGTGAATTCAGAAACAAGGTGTCCCGTGACGGTGAATGAAGTATACAGTGTATCAAGGCATTCATTCATTCATTCAAATTGGTTTATTAATAATCATGCCTCGCAGCGTCAGCTGAATTGAACATGATTTACAAAGTTTAAAACATCACAAACTATAAACAATTAAACATTATTAAAAAAAAAAAAAACACCATGCACAGGGTAGAATTAGAAATCTGAACAGGTGGCATAGAATTATGGATGGTTCAACTTGGAATTGAATGCCTCATTGAAAGAAAGGCCCAGCTCCACCATTTCGGCCTAGGAGGGTTAATTGATATCCTTTGCAACTCCTTCAAAAATTTTCAGTTTTATCTTTTGAACTCAAAAAGGCTTTGTTGGAGTTGGGCCCTTCTTTTGATTAGGTATTCAATTGTGTATTTTCATAAGTTTCATAAATTACGTGTAAATAATATTCTGAAGTTTATACATTATTTTCAAGAAGCAGTCCTTCGGGGAATCATGGTGATGGTGCATTACCTCAGGATGTGAGCAGGGTAGTTCAACCAGGGTCAGGTTGCTCGGGTGGGCAATATTTTTGGCCGCTTTTTATAGAGGTATGCTGAGTAGGTTTGTCCATAGTTTTGAACAAGACTGTAGACTGGGGAATCCTAGGCAGAAGCCATTTGACATCAATTATTATTTTTTTTTGCACAGCATTACTGGCAGTTTTTGGTAAAGCTAATTCTACAGGTAGTCATTGCCTAAAGAGAATATTTATTCTCCTCAAAGGCTGAATATATTGGACTGGCTGAACCTCCCAGCTGAGCTGAAAGAATGCAGAATCAGAAATTGAATTTTGTGCAAAGAATTTTCCCATTTCTTTTTTTTCCTGATCTGGTTTGTGGTCATTCATTGTTTGTGAAGGGCAGCATTTTTTGCCGTCACATTCACTTGGAATCTTGGCCATTGGAATGCAAATTTTTAGAAACTGAGAGAATAGACACAAATCAAATACTATGATTTTAAAAAATTTCCCCTTTTGGTTAGTCAGTGTGGAGAATTCAGGTTAGTCTTTTGAGGTGGGATGATCTGTATTAGTTATATTGTATTTATGTATTTTTTCTAAGCACTTTCAAGTACAATACTGATATATTATGAAAAGTGCATGAGATTCTGTGACTTATGTTGTCATGTTTGTGTAATCTTAAAGTAAATATAATACAACAAAGTACATAGAACTGTCATTGTTAGAGAAGGTATATTTTTAGACTGGAAATCAAGACAGTTTTAGTAATTTTTTAAAGCTTTGGTGAAAGGAAGGAATCGTCACCTAAGAATCTTTGGTTTTGAAATTAATCATGGCGAAGAAAGCACTCGATATTCTTTGAAGTGGAAATTCATTCACCTCGGTGGTTTTGTAAAAGTATCTTTGTGTAGTATCTGATGTCACAGTCTTGTGTGCTATTCTTCAGTCATTTTGTAGATGGAGTCATGTTAGAAGCTACCCTGAAGTAATTAACCTGCGAGTTGGTGTCACATGGTTCTTACTGCAATTCCTATGCCGTAGTTGAAATTTAGGGCAAGACTTAACTTGTACCACTGCCATATGTGCTTATAGGCAGTGTTTTAGTCCAGACCAGTCACAAGACCAGTCACAAGACCAATCACAAGACCAGTCACAAGACCAGTCACAAACACTGTACAAAACAGGGGAACAGTGACAAAGGAATTCTTTTGTTGCAGTTCATTTGAGTAGTTTGTGACTTGAATTCAAGACTTCAGGTCTCAGGTATCTTGTGATAGTCTTGAGGGGCTGGTAGGTACATGTAACGAGCTGGGGAACTGAACTCAAATGGACATACCTTTATTTTTTTAGAGGGGGCACTTGGTGCATTTTTGTGAAAAAAATTGTCAAAATTACTTCATAGCACCCTGCATCGAGACTAACTTCTTTAAATGTACAATTATGAGAGAAAATAATTTAAAAATGAGGAATATTGACATGTCATTGACAATTAATAGTGGTTCCTTTTTTACCTGGTAAATTAAACCCTCACACTGTTCTTCCAGTTTTTTTTACGTAATTGCTTCATTTCATACTTTTGTCTCTGCGTAACTCCACTCTACTGTCTTCATTTATTTCAAGACTGAAGACTGAAAGCCAAACTCAAAAAAAAACAAACAAACCCACATTGGTCACAAGTGGAATTGAATGTAATCGGAATCATTCACTGCCAAGTCTACTCCAGTGTTCGTCTTTCCTGCAGCCCAAAGATATCAAAACCTGTTCTTGGACTGACAAAATGTTTCAAATTCAGAATAACGTATTTCCTTATTCTAACTTTAGTGGAAGTAAATATTTATCCTATAAACATCAACTCTGAGTCATGGCTCCGCTGTGTGTAATCACCGCATTGTAACAAATGCATGCGCTCAGTCTTACCCTCAACAAAAGTGGTCTCCAGTGATTTCAAGGATAGCACAATTTTGCAACTGTAGCTGCAGTCCAAATTAATTCTGAAAGCTGAGCAAGCCAAAGAATTAAGGACAATTTAAGGTCATGGACGTTACGCATGCAGTCAAGTTTTATTGCCCTTGGAATCAATACAGTTGCTTTCCATTGAACATGGCAAACATCTACAAACGAGCTACCACTGTAGTAGATTTCTTAAAACGCAAACTTCAATCACCCACAAAGACTTCTCAAGAACATCTGTTCAAGATTAAATGCAGAGCAAACCATACACAGTACAGCTGGCAAATGGCAACCATTCAAACAAACTAATGAAAAACGGCTTATTACTAAATGCACCACTAACACTCTAAATGAAAACCTTTTAACTACCCACACCAAACAGAAGAAAAAGATGAACATAAATTGGTCACTGACAGCACCTGAAGGAACATATGACATTCAAGTAATGAATACCTAAACCAATTTCAGCAAATACTTGTGTATTATATGTACTGTGCTACTTTGGTGGCAGCCTCAAATTAAACACAAGGTAACTTGAACAATTTTTATTATATGAATGTAATATTGTGAACATGGTTGTATTTAAGAACATCAGACTACATTTGAAGCAAGATATGGGACGGAGAGAACCCCCCGCCTTTATGTTGGTCATTGTTTGATCGGAATCTCAGGAATTCTTTACAGACTTCTAGGGGGGTTGGGTAACAATAGTCTAGAGTGTGTACAGGGATTGGACAGGTACTATTTTTTAAAAGCTGTAAATTGACACAAAAAAAGAACAGCGACAGTTTGTTCCTAACTGTACTGGTTTCTTAGAAATGAGAGTGGGAAAGGAAAGATTGGATTACTAGGCGAGAGTTTGAAATTTCGGATTCAGACCTGGGAAAAAAAAAATTTTTTATTTGGAGAAGTCTTGGATCCGCCAACCAACAATTTACTGATACAAATGGTTAAAAAAAAATTGACTCTGCTGTCTGACTGATGGCACAGTCCCCGATTTCTTTTTTATGAACTTTGGTCCTTGGTGACTGGCGCTAGTGGTATGGGGTACCTCTATTTTCTTTTGGAATTTTTTTATTTTCCCTTTGACTTGAAGACCCTTACTTGTTTTCTTGAGACCATAGAAAGTCCTTTTTCCCCCCATCCTTTAAAATTTGTCTTAAAGAACACTGGCACCAACTAATAAAACTGCTAGCCTTAATTTGAGATTTTTTATGCTCTCTTGTGACAGAATGTTTTGCTCACATTTACTGTGCCAATTTTAATCCCATCCCTTTGTTATGTAAATGTGCCATCAACTTCACGGTCATCAGTAGCAAGACTAATTTTTTAACCTGGATAAGATCGAGGCGACATAGACCTCATGGAGAGTTAACAATAGGTATCAACCAAAAATTCCCACGCAAAAGCCAACACACCAGTATCTTTATGTACGTGATCACACAACAAATTTTCACCCAGAAAATTTAAGCACCCAAGGTCAACATACCATCATAAGCTTCTTTAAAAGTGAAATAATACATATTCTTATCTTACTTCTCATGTAAACTAATGGAAGCATCTGTTTTATATACACAATATGTAGACACTTTTGGCCTGACGTACTGTTTACAAATGCAACCAAAACATACAGATCTTTAGCAAAATTTACACATGCGCTTCACTTCATCACCTCTGGCATTAGAAGTTACCAAAAACATCATGGATATCACTGAAATGAAGACTTCTAAAAAAAGATCCGTTGTAGTGCATAAATATGTTGTGCATTTGATGTTGACAAATCTTTCAAAGGCTTTGAACACTTGTTACAAAAATTGCTATGACACCAAAATATCACTGTAAACATGTACATGTTATATTAAGGAGATATGTCGATGTGTAACGGCCTGTCTTGCAAAGGATTTTTTTTCTGTTACTTTTTTGTCAACTTCAACCGTATCCTTTTGTTTGAGTCTATCAAGGTTCAAGGTATGCAGTAACTGTAAATATGCGATCAACCAACACATTGTGATCATCAATAGCAACCTTGATAAGATTGAGGCAACAAAAAACCTTATAAAAGAGGACTTGACAAAAGATATCAGACATTAGTGTGCATGAACCAACAAACCAGTAACTTTCTAGGTTTTGAAAAAGTAAGTATATATCCAAAGAAATTGTACATTATACAACGAAGGTACAAATACCATCATATGGTTATAAAACATCTTGTATATACCTTGTATCTTATTTCTCATATAAAAATATTGAAAGCATCTGTTTTATATACAATATGTAGACACTCTCGGCCTGACGTACTGTTAACAAAATGCATCCAATAAATGCAGATCTTCATTCAATTAACAGGTGAGCGTCGCTCTAATTTTTTGGCACCAGAAATTAAAAACATCAGGGAGGGGATATCAATGAAATGAAGAATACAAAATGTTTTTCAGCTTGCAAATGTTTGAAAGCTTTGAAGATTTGTTACAAGATTTAAAGCAACATGAACACATCACTGTATATTTAACGTCAAGACACACTGATCAGACCAAAATAACCCCAAAATAAACAAGTTAAAAATGATTGCCTACACTACTAGTATGAACCCCACAAAAATCAAACATGCCACCATCTTGAAAAATCAATCCATGATCGAAACGACTCTGGATTAACTTTGAAACGATTGAAAGAGCCGCCATTTTGTTAGAAGCAGGCTAATCAAAGTTTCTTCTTAAACCTGTAATTGTATGCATATTTATTGATTAGGCTACGCGTACCAGTATGTCGATCCTACCCTGTAAATATGTTTGACAGTGCCACACTAACAAGACTTGCTAATTAGCGTTATTCCTGTACCAGTGCATTATGTTTTATTCCTACATACCCAGCCCTGCCCCTGGAATGTACATGTACACCGCAGAAAAAGATAAGCGTGAATTTTGAAGACAATTACAACTGTACATAGGCTGGCATTAAGCTACGTGTATGTATGTATGTGACACAATACCGGTACATCAAGGTACATGTACATGTACATGTGTACACGATCCATGCACCCAGAGTCAAGCATGTACATGAACAAGGCAACAGTTAGCACTCTGAGGAACCAATAACGGAGAGGAGGAAAGTCATTTGATAACTACCCACAAAAAATAGGATGAAAAAGATCAAAATAAATTTGTCTCTCACAGCAGCTGATGGAACATTATCAAATTCAAGTAAGGAATACATGTACCTAAAACAATTCCAGCAAAAGCATATACGTGTACATGTACTGTGCTACTTTGGTGGCAGCCTCAAATTGAACACAAGGTAACTTGAACAATTATGTTCATTATAAGAATGTAATATTGTGAACATGGTTGTATTTTACGAACAATAAACTACATCTTTGAAAACTGTAAATCAACTCTCAAACCCTTTCCATTGTTGAAAACCCTGCCGAAATTGGCCAGAGTTCAAAAAGTGACAGATAAACATTTCAGCTGCCGATTCACTGGCAAATAAGAACAACAACATGATGCCGAATTACAATTTCTTCTCAACTGAACTGCTTTCTTAGAAATGAGAGTTGGAAAGGAAAGTTTGGATTATTAGGCGAGAGTTTGACCTTCCGGATTCAGACCTGGAAAAAAAATAAAATTTTTTATTTTGGGAAGTCTTGGATCCGCCGACCAAGAATTTACTAATACAAGTGTTAAAAAAGGAGGTTTTTTGGCTCTGCCGTCTGACTGACGGCAAAGTCCTTATTTCAATTTTGTGAGATTTGGTCCTTGGCTGCTACTGGTACATGTTGCACGAGTGGTAAGGGATACCTCGTTTTTCTTTAGGAAAAACATTCTTTTCCTTTTCCCTCCGACTTGAAGGCAATACTTGTTTTCTTGAGACCACAGACGATACCTTTTTCCATCCTCTAAAATTTGTCTTTAAAAAATCCAAGCACCAACTAATAAAAAAGATGCTTGCCTTCAATTTTAGCACCTAAATATTGTCTCAAAAAAGAAAACAAGATGACTTGAACTTGAAATTTCTTTATGCTATCTGGCGACATAATTTTTTTCTTACATTTACCATGCTAATTTTAACTCCATCCCTTTGTTATGTAAATGTGCCATCAACTTCACGGTCATCAGTAGCAAGACTAATATTTTAACCTGGATAAGATCGGGGCGACATAGACCTCATGGAGACAAGACTTAACAATGGGTACATGTGTAAACCCAAAATTCCCATGGAAAAGTCAACTGACCAGTATCTGTGTGCACGTGATCACCAAAATAAAGTGTTCATTGAGCACCCAAGGTCAACTACATGTATAGGCTTAGTCAAAGATGAATTAATATATATTCATATCTTCTCATAACTAACAGAAGCAGCTGTTTTATATACGCAATATGTAGACACTTTTGGCCTGACGTACTGTTCACAAATGCAACCAAAACATACAGATCTTTAGCAAAATTTACATGAGCTTCACTTCATCACCTCTGGCATTAGAAGTCACAAAAAACATCGTGGTGGATGTCACTGAAACGAAGAGTTCTAAAATATACCCCAACCATTCTGAACCCAAGAAGTTTACGCATGATTTTAATGGTTCCTAGGGTGTTACGGCTACATGTAGGTCAACATGCAAATGCCTGTCTTGCAAAGGAATTGTTTCAGTCACTTTTTGTCAACTTCAACCCTATCCTTTTGTTTGAGTCTATCAAGGTTCAAGGTACGCATTTACTGTAAATATGCGATCAACCAACACACTGTGATTATCAATAGCAACCTTGATAAGATTGTGGCAACAAAAAACCTTATAAAAGAGGACTTAACAAAAGATATCAAACAGAAATTAGTATGCATGAACCAACTAACCAGTAACTTTCTAGGTTTTGAAAAAAGTGGATACAAATAAATTGTTCATTAAATAACCAAGGTCAAAATACCATCATATGGTTATAAAACATTTCATATATATATATTTTATATCTTAATTCATATAAAAATATTGAAAGCATCTGTTTTATATACAATATGTAGACACTCTCGGCCTGACGTACTGTTAACAAAATGCATCCAATAAATGCAGATCTTCAGGTGAGCTTCACTCTAATTTTTTTTGGCATCAGAAATTAAAAACATCAGGGAGGGGATATCAATGAAATGAAGAATACAAAAAACAAAACCAACAAAAAACAAACCCCCGCAAAATGTTTTTCAGCTTGCAAATGTTTGAAAGCTTTGAAGATTTGTTACAAGATTTAAGGCAACATGAACACATCACTGTATATTGAATGTCAAGACACAGTTATCAGACAAAACTAACACCCAAAAATAAACAAGTCAAACTATGATTGCCTGCACTGTGAACCACACAAAAATCAAACATGCTACCATCTTGAGAAATCAATCCATGATCGAAACGACTCGGGATTAGCTTTGAAACGATTGAAAGAGCCGCCATTTTGTTAGAAGCAGGCTAATCAAATTTGTTTCATAAACATGTAATTGCACGCATATTTATTGATTAGGCTACAGCTTTGTAAATCCTATCATTCTTAATAACTATTACAGTTAAAGACCAATGGGGAACTGAGTAAATATGATTAATAATGCCATACAAACAAGACTTGCTAATAACTAGTGTTATACATGTATCAGTGCATTATGTTTTTATTCCTACATACGAAGCCCTGTCCCTAAAAATGTACACATTAAGCCTGTTCGATATTCAGTTCTTTTTATATTGCGATATCATGAAAAAATATCGCGATATCCAATATTATCGTGATGTATCGTCAGTTTTCATTCATAAAATAAACATGAGCGAAATCACCACTATGTCTCGAGAGCCAAGTAAAAAACCAATGTATACATGTACATGTATGTATTATCTCTACATTTAGAACTCTAATGCTGGGGAAAGCAATTTCAACATGGATATTGTGGATATTAAATTATATCATGTCATATCATGGCACCGTACAGAAAAAGCAATTTCCACGCACACATTAGTGGTAAAGTTTGCTCAAAAAGGCAACCCCCAAAATGAACAGAGCGCATGCGTGTTACTAGACGGGCTACTGGTATTGATGCCCTCACCTCATTTCTAAGTTGGCATTTCTAAGTCATCATTCATTTCTCATAAGTCGGCGGGTTTCACTCGGTCCCTTTTCTACAAGACCAAAAAAAATCCTTCATGAATAAAAGTCGGCATTAAAAAATGCACAGTCTGTTGGTTTGGTTCTGCCCCTTAACAGTTGTAAGACCCTTGCAGCTACTTGGTGCCAACAGGGACTTTGTGGTTTTTAATGGAGTATTCATGTGGCCCCAAAGCATTAATGCAGGGCTCAACACACGGTGCATTGACTTCCCTATGAGCAGGTACAGTTTATCATTTGGAGTTTATCACGATAATTTTTTGGCGTATTGATTTACAAGATATGCTGATGTGTGTTTTTACGAACGATATGATTTCTGCTACCAACATCATGTCGAAATATCGTGAAAAATATTGTCATATCGAACAGGCTTAGTGCACGTACACTGCAGAGAAAAATGAGCATGAACTTTCAATTAAAATTGTACATGTACATAGCCTGGCATTATTAAGCTACCTGTGCATATGTATGTGACACAATACCGGTACTGTGCATGTACATACACATGACATGTACATGCACCCAGAGTCAGAGTCATGCATGTACATGAACAAGCAACAGTGTGTGCTCTGAGGAATTAATAACCTGTTGTTACAAATCACACTTTTCCTCAATCTTGCAAACTTTCCCAAAATAGGTAATATCTATGTATGCTAAAAAAACGGTCGGTGAAACAAACATGTGGACGATGGATGCTGGCCAACGCATGCGTCTGCGACACGCACGCTGCGTCCACTACACGCTGTTGTCCGAGGTCCCCGCATGCTGTGCTCGCTCAGCCTCCACCATCTTCAACGTGGCAGCGATGATACTCCTCTTCCAGGCACGAATGGCAAAGAAGATCTGCACCACATATGCCGCGGCAGCAATGAAGCCAAACACCTGTTGGTCAACACAGGAACCAAAACTTTCTCATTTTTGGGGGTTGTTCAAAAATATCTTTTCATCTCATACACTCTGTGGTCTCTTTCTGCTTTCCCAGTTTTTGAGGGACTCAGATTTCTCATAGGACTAATCACAAAAACTTAGGCCTTGTGATTTGGAAATTGCAGGCGTGTGAAAAAAAAAACCACTCCTGGATATTTCCAGGTGTGCAAGTTTTCTAGGCTTGTGATTTTGAGACCCAAACTGAACAATCTGGAGTTAATAATTCGCCCAGTTCCAACCAAATTTGGGACATTTTCAATAGAGTCCTTGTAAGATTTTTTACGTGTGAAATTAATATATTTTGGGTAGCCAAATTACATGTATACAGGCACAGATATTTTGCAAACTTTCCCACAAGTTCGAATTTTGTCAGGAGAAGACATACACTGTAGATACATGTACATGTGTTCATTTGTATTTGGGGAGACAGATCATTGAATCAAAAGTGTGTTGGCGGTTACTTTAAAGCTGGCTATTATGATAATACACTGCAGATGGTAACACCGAATTATCAATTTTTTAATGGATTTCAAGAAAATAATTGGAAATAAATAAAATTCTCCATTAAATTTTCCAATAAATCTTCCAATTATTCAAGACTGGACCATAACGAAAATCCACGAACTTCGGTTGGTATTATTTGTACATGCACAATGTACATGTACAGTATACATGTGTACTCACAGGAAAGTTTCCTGTGAGTTATTTCCGTTCATAACGGTAAAATATTTTATTGGGAAACATCAGCGTTTGCATGTCTGCACAAAAAGATCTGCTGCGATCCATGCTGGCATGATCTCACCGTGGCTTTCACGCTCTATGTGGTGCATTGTGATTGACTGGTCTGGTCCCAGTCTCAACTTCAAGGGAATTCATTGACTCACTATGCGTATGGTGTGGGAGCCGGCAATGCGAAAGCATGTCGACTTCTGGAGATCATTTTGTGCAGACGCGAGTAAAAGCCCAGATTTCTTCCCCCCCCCAAAAAAATTCTCGTTGTGATGGGAATAACTTACAGGATAGCCATTCTCCACAAAATACCCGGTACTTGGGATATTCAGGAAATTCATTGGGAAAACTTGACTGATAATACAGTCAGTCTATGTGAACATAAATTTTTTTGGGTTTGTCTTGAACATGAGGAATTTTACAATGAACAAAACTCCAAACATGGACACAGCGGTAAAGGTACCGGGTATAGTTAAAGGCTAGCGATCCCAAAATCTTCTAACACATCTAACAGAAATATTTATTTTAATCGGCTCACTGAACTGACAAATAGCTGCCACATAACAGCCTACCTCAACAACCATGTCCTTCCCGCTGCTTTCGTCTTTCCCCACCCTGTACCCGATGTCACCCATCCCCTCCCGCCTCTCAAAAGTACTCAACTACTGGTAACAAGCAATTATCAGTCATGTTCGTTCTACTGTCATGTTATACATGTACTTGCGAGCAAAGTTTTCCGTAGTGAAAACGCATGCGGTGCATACATGTACATACATACATGTACATGTATGCGAAGTTTTGCATAGCGTACGACCGTGTTTTGTGTGAAGAAGGCTGACTAGCCAGTGACAACTAATGGTGTTTAAGTTAAGAACTAGACTTCACTCACCATAGATACTGACCATATTGACAACCCTGGCCTGGCGATAACCTTACAGCCCAGGAACAAAATGTTCCCTTGCACTTCCAATGTGTGTGACGTGCACTACATGTACGAGCACGTAAAGCCACGTACAGTCTGGTATATGTAGCATTATGTATGCAGCAACACATGTACTGCAGTGCTGCGTGATGTAGTGTTCCTTTATATGCGCTGAACAATTAACTGTGCACTGACAGCCGTTACACAAAGCAGTTGCGCCAGGAGAATAAAAAATGATTGTGTCGTTCCTGTTACATGTAGGCGGGCCTAATGTTTGACTCTTTTTGTTTCATTTTTCTCACAAATGGCGAAGTATAATTATAAAAGTAGACTCATGCCGAGGAGTGCAATAAGGATGGTTTCCAGTGTGCAATTATTCGCATGTCTCGGGAAGCTTTTAGGCGTGCGATGGCGTGGGAGTGCAACAGGTATGACGTTATTTTGGACCAACGCCTCCATAACTTCTTTGCATACAAATGTAATTGTTGCCCCAGGCTTAATATAATTTGTTGTGGTGTAGAAAAAAATTTCATACTCAGTTGTCCATGGACACAAAGCAATGTGTATGCTGTGATTTTTAATTTTGGTTTGGAAAAACACAGCATCAAAAATATCTTCAAGCAATTGGGAATAGCACCTCAGATTCCTAATTTCCGCCTCATGGTCTGCCACTGAGTTTTCCAAAGCTCTCGAAACTGTTCTTGCTTCAGTGTCAGCGTGAACTTTCCATACAGCATCTGACACAAACCAAGGGCATTCAATGTCTTTCTGATGGCCACAAACCAAGTTTTTTTCCCTCTGAAGAGTGGCAGAGCGAAAGAGACGTTCATGACAATGATTGGAGGCAGCCAGACTAACACAAAGGACCAGAGAAATGCCTTGAAGTACCGCGTGCTCTTGTTAGCGATGGGATGCGGCTGGGTCCCGTCGTCGTTACGCCTCTTGGCATGGTCAGCCAGCGGTGGGGCCTGGTCAGCTATGGCATGGGCTTGATGCCTGGCGATGCAAATTATCTTGACATTTAGGCCCGTGATGATTGCTACCACCGGCAGAATAACACTGTCCATGAAAACAAGTACAGCCTTCCGAAGGTTCACAAAGACAACAATATCATTTCCACATTCCAATAAAATTTTATACAGCAGCGATGCCACAGCACCTCCAGTTAGAGCTAGGGTCCATGCACTAACGATCAACGTGATAGAAACTCGCCTAGTTACCGTTAATGTGTATTTCAACGGTCGGGTGATTTTGATGTACTTGTCAACAATGAAGCAGATGGTGCAGAGAAAATAGAGAAGGTACAGAACAGTTATTGTGAAGAAGTAAAAGACACTGTCGTCACACCTTATGCACCCTTCAGGTGTAAAGAGCAGGTGGTCGTCAAAGCAGATCAGTAGCACATACACGAGCTCGCTGAGAACCAGATTGGCCAGGAGATAATTAGAGATTGAACGCAATTGCCGGTGGCGCACAACTGCGAAAATAATCCAAAGATCAACGGCCGCGAGAAGAACAGACAGAGGCAATATGAAGCTGTATCTGACTATAACCAGAGCTACTTGATCAAATGCATTCTGGGAGCAGTTGCTCAGGTTCATCCTATCCGTCCACTGTAGCTGCGAGTCATTGGGATCCCTCCCCAAAATGGCCATTCTCAAATGACAAGTTCTGGGACTGTCCAATCACAAAACAAAATTGCACCTGAAACAGTTTTGAACTGCTTCATGTTTCCACGCGTCTAGCCATGTCCATGTATGGGCCAGTGTACAAAGAGAAAATTCCTGAATTGAGCTCAATACTACAATACACTTCCCACATCAGGGAGGCTAAGACTAACAGCCGGCTCACAACTCAAATTGAGGCTGTTTTCTTGTGAACAAAATGTAAGTCACTGGCCAAGGGCTTCTGGCACTAGATGAGCTGCATGTACCCTAACCACTTAACACATGCCAAGTCAGCAAACCGAGCAGTAACAGACACAGAGATATCAGCCGTTCAGCCACTCTACATGTGCTTCGTGACCAGACCAAACCAAGTTGATCTGCCCAACTTCAACAAGCCACAAATCACTGCGGAGGACTGGTGAGTACTTCAATAACTGCACGGGGTTTGATACACTGCTACCGCACTTGTGTCGCACAGTGGTAATATCGCGGCACTAAATGGTCTCATTGCTAAGACTCGTAGTCACTGCGCCCCTGAAACATCACTGCAAAGAATAACGACGAGTTTCCATTCCAACTGACTTGTTAGCACTGCTAAGGAATCAACAAAACCTTACTTTATGGGTTTTGAGTGACAGTGAAAAACCACACAAATTGCAAAATACAGACCTACAGGCAAATATCCAGGTCTGACGGCCACAATTACTTGCTGGCCACTTAATTACATCTCTCCTCAAGCCATTGACATGTGCTGATGACAGCTGGGAGCTGGCCACCCTCCTGCACACATCAGAGTAAATATCAAATAACTTGCATCCCTCTCCGTCCTCTTGCTACCGGGAGTGCTGACTTAAGATGTCATTGTCCACTTCACTCAAACACTGCAAAATTAGCAACCTGTAATCTCTCTGATGTGCCTGTCTTCATCAGCCAATGTATAACCTTTCAGCTTCTTGACATTTTAATAACAGGTTAACTTCGCTGATGCTCAATCAAAACAGTGATGGAGGGACGGCATCCAGATGAAGGCCCAAGTCCATTTTTTTCGCTTTTAGAATTTCGAAAAATGTCGATTCGTTTCCCATTTCCAGCGCCCCTGCTGTTCCAGTTTGGGTCTGCCACAGGCCTTACGCTACGAATTGCATGCGTGTCGCGTTGAGATACTACAAAGCCGAAACCAGCTTTGTAATAAATCAACAGTACCTACGGTACCTCTGTATAACTGCGCAGAAAAATATCAACATTAACTTTGTACGCGTACACTTTCAGGGGGAGGGAGGAGTCTCAAAAAGCATGCACTTTGTACACTTGTGAAAATGTGGATGATTGTGAAAAGCCCCTAAATCAGACATGTTGTTTTGTTGTTACAGTCATTTGAAGTTCAAGGCTACTCGCGTACATGTACCTGCCTGCATGCACTGAGCACTGCAGTGGAAAAAGGATACATTTTCGGCTGACCTGTCTTGGAAAAATGCACGCAGCGCAAGAACAGTATGTCCCATTTTCACAAAATTTGTGTCAAATAACCACAAAGAGTTACTCCTTATGACTCTGCCCCTGGAAAAAAATGGCACCCCGGCGATATTGGAAAAGAATTTGGGGCTGGTAGCGGGGCCAATTCTACCCTCCTCTGGCTCTTTTAGGGTAAAATGTCATTTTCCTCATTATTTTACTGTTGGCTTCAACATTTGTTCTTTCCCTTCCTTTGCTAAGGCCAAATAAAAAACAACAACTTTGTTTCCGGTTACTCGACCAAACCTAGAAAATCACAGGGAACCTATATCTTTTTTTTTTGGACAAATCAACAAAATAGAGAAATTAATGGTGCCTTGCCCCGAGCCTAATTTTGTGTACATCGTCCTGCATACTGTATTGTTTACATTTTTTTTGCATGAGATGATGGCTTGTGTGTTTGTATTTCAACAAACAGCTGCTTTAATACTAATCAATCACAGTACTGATATGTAATACTGACGTGCACATGTACACTACATGTATTAATCTGACACTGACTTAGAACCTGTTTCAAATATACGCACCCATCCCCCAAAAAATACAGACCATCATTTGACCCTAAATGTTTTGGGCTATAAAAATTTAGAGTTAAAAAAATATTTTACCCAACCAACCACCCTAATTTATTTCTCAGAGTAATAGAAAACCCAATTATTTTTTGTTTGGCCTAAATGGTATCTAGCCCCCTCCTCAGCCTAAAGCAGACCCACAAACCCTAATGCAATGCAGTCAAACTTACCGTGGCAACTATGAGCACAGCATTGCCATGTACATTGGCAGCGATGTGGGCACCGGTGGTGAGGAGAAGAAGACCAGCTACGGCACAGTACACAATCTCCTGATTAGGCAAAGAAAAAGGCACGTACTGATACGTAAGCCTCAAACCAATTCTGCACGACAGAAATCATTATGAAAGCCTTACTTATTCACATAATGACCTTCGGTTGGTGAAATCTCTCTCCAAACATGATCCCTGACAAAATATAATATGGAAGATTAGATAAGACACTTTGCATTGTGGAGGCTAGATTGAGAGAACAGTTTACATGTACACCATGTGTAAGCTATCTCTTCTAGAGGTGTAGTAGTTTGAAAAAAAACCCCAAAAAAACTGGTGATTGTGAACTTGAGAGTTCAGCCAGTCTGCTCTGGTTCATTCTCCATAGGGGAAGCCACAAACCTTTCTCTTAAAATGAAACATGTTATCGTTTGGAATCCAACTAACTGGAGGTGAACTACAGGGACTTCATTCCTCGGCATAACACCTGTGGAATCACACTCCTTGTGCAAAGTTTCACATTGATTCTCTTCCTATGAATATACATGTACATGTACACGTATGGATTTCAATTTGTCTCTGGGTCACATTGTCTTCAACTGACAGTCCACCAAGTACATGTACATGTTAGTATCGGTACATGCATGCCAATAGTATGCCAATACCCATTACATTTTCCTTGCACAAACACTGAGAATAGCATGCCCATTACACAATTCGTACAATAAACATCCAGAAGCAAGTAGTGTTGCACGAACTGTGTACTGTTCACGTACATTGTATGGGATGGACCGTCAGTGAACTGCATCCATCCCAATCAGTACCTTACATTGTACGGTACAATGCACATCAGGAATTTTTTTTTTAATCACAGGTTTTGCTCTTACCGAATAAGCCTTCTCTCTTTTTTTTACAAACTTTCGGACAAGCTCTGAGAACACAGCATCATTTAATGTACAGTACATTGGTGTAACGGCAAAACACGTACAGTGTTATTAAAAGTTACATGAGGAAAATTGCTTATACTGGTAGTGCACAGCACCCTTAAGTACCACATTTGTGCCTTGAGGTGATGCAGGGGAAAGGACTTACGAGGACACTCCAGGGAATTTTGATCTTGTGGATGAGTCCAGTCATGTAGCCGGCCATGATGAGACAGGTCACCAGACAGAAGCCCATAGTGGCGGCCTGGTAGTGCCAGTAGGAAGACTCATCCACGGCCTTGTTGGGAGCGGCCGTAACACAGACGAAAGCGACCACGAGGCAAACCTGGGGAAAATGGGGGGAAACGGAGACTGTGATTAGGAGTCAGCCGACATAGTCAGAGATGACTTAATGCAGGCTTTTCTAAATGACCTTTGACATAGGTCTCAAACATGCACTTGATACACATGTGTACACATACATTGCCGTGTTCTGCATCCATGAGGACAAAAGCAATCACCAATCAAGAAATACTGAGAAAGAATTGAAATCCATCCAGTGAATTAGACTGACTGAGGCTGTTGCCTGTCCTTTGACCCTAATAGTCCTGAATCCTCCAATTTTAACCCAATTTTGCACACACCCTAGGGTTAAATAATATGGGTAGGTTTCCAGCCTGTAGCGGTACATGCAGCCTGCCGATATGAGCTCTGTAACTAAAAAAACAGGAACAGTTTCTCCATAAATCTGCAAATACACTTTGTAATCTTGGCATGCATGTTGCTTCCACATAAAGCTCATTCCCTGGGGATTTTGTGATGAAACTTCCTGAAACCCTGCCAAATAATTCAAGACTGTGCAGTGTACTGGTGAGCACATGTATACATGTCCCACAGCAACTGGATATCCTAAAGAGTCAAACATGGATACATGTCAGGTACTGGAACAAAAATTCTTAGAAATCCTAAAACCAAGAGAACCTGTGATTGTGGTCTATAGCACCGAAACATTCAAAACACATGTAAAGAAAAGGGAAAAACTCGACTGTGCATGACACTGAAACCCTGCGGAATTGGTTAAAGACTGACATGATTCATTTACCATTTATTTACTATTGCACATCCTTCTTTGAAATGCAATCAAACAGTAAACAAATGCAAAATGCATTCAATTAATATTAGTTCAGTATAAAAACATGTGTACTGGTAAATGTATGTAAACCATGCAATTACCCTTTCACTTGAATTACAAGAAACTACCGGTATTTTTGTTCTAAAATGAAGGGACAAAAGCAGGGTTTAATTGCCTCTTCCAGTAACTGCCAGTGACTCAAGTAATTTGTGTACTGCTTGCACTGAATATATAATGAGGACCAGTATTTGAACAGTTAATTTGAATTCTAAATTCAGGTATTGACCTCATCTTTGTACATGTACTTCATTGGGGAAGCCTGAGGATAAACAACATGTACATGTAGGATGTATGGTATAGTGTATGTATTATGCATACATGTACATGTATGTATACGTGTACAATGTAGATATATTGTGTGTTACTGATTGTCTATCCATGAATACTCATGTTTTCATAAATGAACCTGGGTACAGTGAACATGCAGTACATGTGTAATTCTGCCCTTCATTATTTCAGCATACACATGTATGAAGGGCTTCTCATTACTTCTTATGATCTCATTTGCCATTGCTAAGAATCCGCAACCACAACACAATTGTCTCGATGGAGTAAGAATTCAACATACGGTTGACCTTGTCAATAAGACAGACACTACAGAAGCGTATGCTCACATTTTCTAAACCCCTTCAGACGGCACAAGTGGCTTTGAACGGTGCACAGGTGGCCTTTTAAAAAGTTTCGGATATAATAACAATCTTCACAATGTTGACTTCAAATATTGACACTTCATCAGCCATGCTATTCCCAAATGCTACTGAAAGGGCATCAAAGGTCAATGCAACAGGAGCTCTCTACTGCCACTCGGCACGTACATGTACACAGTACAGCCTTGTACATTCACAGTTTGAATTCTGCATGAGAAAAAAAATGCTTCGTAAACATTTATAATTAGTGCACTTCCCTCTTCATTCATATGTACATACAAGTACCCATGGGTACTGTACAAAGCATACAATGTACATGTATGCATGTGTACTGTGAAATGTATATCCTCCGGGTGGTTTGGAGGATTGAGGATGAATGATGAT